GAGAACTAGAAAGGCGAGGCTCCACCACCCATTTATCCCTCTGCCTTTCAATTAGCCCCACGTGTGATTATCGGCCAGGCTGGCACAATTAACTAACTCAACAGCTACAATAAAAATATTGGTCACTTCTCTGAGTACTAGGGAGTTGTGTCTCTGGTGGTTTGTGCGGACATCCACCTTAGTTTCTAGACAAAACACTCCTTGGGTGGCTTTATGAAGAGAGTAAGAACATAAGGAAGGGGACATGTTGCGGCCACATATCCTCCAGTTCTGGGTGTCTAGGGCCATGCGGATCTCTCTCATAGCTCACAGAGAACTGTGTAGTTGAAGTCACATCCATCTTTGCTGAAGGGACGGAAATCTTCCACTTGTGCCTCAGGACTCTTCCCCAGCCAAGATCACTTGGTGATGATGTGACCCCTCCCGGGGCTCTAGGAGATGACTGAATCAATATGGAGGAGCGTTTCCTCAAGTAGACGAGGCATCAGCTAATATGATTGAGCTGACCCAGCCACAGGGCCCTGTGGAATTGTGGGAATGAGGAGAGAATGACGCTCTGCAGTTATGCTATGTGTCTTTTTTTATTAAGGAAAATAAAAAAGATCACCCATGGAGGCCTGGACTAGAAGACCCAGGTGTTCAAGGAACGGCATCAACTCTTTTCTGGGTCGATTGTCTTGTAACTTTAACGCCATGACCCTGAAGTCTTTCAGGCCGGATACGGAATCCTTCATAATCCTGCAGATTATGGCTTTTCCACCAAGTCTACTCAAGCCCTCATTACAAATTACATTAATGTGCTTTCTGATGGCAATATTGTCTCCAGAGAACTCAGCCAACTTGACCAAGACCACGTGGAGAGGTAGCCAGGACGACAATGGACACAATTCATCTCCACCGCCTTTTCTACATGCAGATGAATAGCTCCCAAGGAATGATTTTCTTGTGATTAAAATAGTGTCAACCTTTCTACCCAAATATTCTCTGAGTAGAGGAAATTTGAGTTGACTTGGAATCTGAAATTCTCTACATTTGGTTCTTTCTGAATCACAGCTTGGGGTCTCAGGTCTCTTTGACTTTCTGAGGAAAATGGGAATGGAATATTCATAGTGATTTACTTCAGGAGGTCTTAGAAGACTTGTTTAAGGAGCACTTTTTAATGTGTTAAGCAACCCAATATAAGACAATGGATATGAGTTAATTTAAGGGAAGGAATCTACTTAACATGAATTGATTTATTTTTTGGTTCTTTAGATAAGATATAAAATGCTATTTAGGATTCAGACTCAGGATCACGTGAAGCCTGTATTTGTTTTGAAAAGAGTTATGATTAATTTGGACTCCTGTAACTTATATATAGAAGAGTAATTCTTGGACCTGAGTTTTAGAGCATGAGTAAGTTCCATCTCAAAAGACTCATAAATGGAAGGATGGTTTAATCTCTTTGTGCACATTCTTATATGGTTTTGTAGACCCTCACCTCTAGATGAAAAATCAATACTCTAGTCTATGTTTTTCTCATAAAATAACCCATGGCTTCTTTCTTCCTGCAGACAAAACTGTGTGGTGTTTGATCCCATATTTATGGTTACATTCTGGATGGCTGTGTGGCATTTCAATCAAGGTAATTAAAAAATATAGTCAACTTGGTTCTAATGATGACTGTGGTGTTTGGAACTGCCTGTAGATATACCTTTACTGATCCTAAAAAAGTGAAAAAATGTCTATGTCCATCAGAGACAACTTAGTACAGATATGCTAATTTTAGTTGGAGTACAGTTAAATTCAATATATATGTGTGTATACAGATATGTATATATATTGTAAATCAGAATTGACTTAATGGCAGTGTTTCTATTTCTTTTTCATCATATATATATCTATATATATGGAACAAACTATGTACTTGATACTCAAATTTGAATAAGTCATGACTTTGTCTTCAAATCTGAATGTCTAATACTAATTTGACTCCAGGGGGGAAAAACAAAGAATTAGAAATGGAATGTAATAATTATAGCTAATTAGAGGGGCTCTCTAACATACACCTGCTGGTCTCTATGCATCTGGAGCAAAGGGAAAGAAGGACATCAGAGACTCCTAGTTTGTAGTGCTAATGGACTAGATCTGTGGCTCTCAACCTTCCTAATGCCGTGACCCTTTAATACAGTTCCTCATGTGTGGTGACCCCGAACCATAAAATTATTTTCATTGCTACTTCATAACTGTAATTTTGCTACTGTGATGAATTGGGCGACCCCTGTGAGAGGCTCATTTAACCCCCAAAGGGGTCCCGACCCACAGGTTGAGAAACACTGGACTAGACTAACTAATGCTTGGGTACCATTACTCACTGTTCTGACCAGGGACACAATAGTTGGTCCTGGATAAAATGGGAGAAAAATGTAGCAGCCTCTTTCAATTCCCACTTCTTTTCATTCTTCCATAATACTTTCAAGTCTGTAAATTCTTTTAATTAGTTTTATATGTTGTCTGTCTGCTGATGAAATAAAAACTCCCTTAAGAAAGCTTTTCTATTTTTTCCATGCTTAGACTAATGCCTGGTTTTATAGCAGTAAAAGGAGTCTGTGATGAAATGAAATGATGAATGGAATACCAGAGCCCCATAGATAGACTCCAACATTTACCACAAGGTTCTGGGGGTTTTCATCTGGGAGGTGCTGAGGGGAAAGGGTCTCTAAGCTAGGAATGAGAAGAAAGAGCTGCAGGCATCTATTAATAATCAGAATGTGGAAATTTCTGAAGTATGAATCAAGGAAAGTTGAAAGTTGTCAAAAATAAAACAGAACACTCGAACATAAGCACAGTAGGCATTATGCACTGATGAGGGCCCTCATGGATCAGACCATTTCATGGTCTACTCTGCCTACAGTGTCAAATGGCTGAGGGACAGAGCCATACTTGGTGTCAAAAAAGATCACTTCAAGATCTACCCTGAAATACAATGCTGTCAGTTATAGGATGCTAACCATATACCTGTAAAAAAGACTGGTCAATATGATTACTATTGTCCTTTAGATGCCAATTACAAATGCCAAAAAGAACGAGGTTATTTTTGCCATATTCTGTGGTCTGAAATTGATCAAACATGCAATGGAGGTACATTTCTAATTACTGGTCACTGGAATTCAAAAGGTGGAAATAAAAAACAAGGATTGACAGTTGAAAAACATGGTTTGGTGATAGGAAAAATGTGGGGAACCACACAATAGAATTCTGTAATACCAAATGAATTAGTCATTGGAAATACCTTTTTTTTCAACAACAGAAATAGTGACTACACACATGGACCTCACTAGATGGGGTATACATGAATCAAATTGGCTATTCCTATGGAAAGAGTTGATGGGAAGTTCAAAATCAGTCCAGAGATATTTTTTGAAGAAATAATTATAGAAATTTTCCTAAATCAGGAAGATCAGATTATCATCCAAGATTCCCAACAAAATCCATATAGGTTAAGCCCCAAGAAAAACATCCCAAGACATATCATAATTGAACTCACCAAGTAAAAGATAAAGAAAGACTTTTAAGAGCAGCACAAGATAAGGGAGAAGCCACTTACAAGGGATCATCCATGAGATTAAGTGCAGATGTCTCATCAGTAGCTATGTAAGCAAGAAGACAATGGGGTGACGTATCCAAAGCCTTGAAAGAAAAATAACGGTCAACCAGGAATAACTTACCCAGCAAAATTATCATTCAAAAGTGAGGGTGAAATTAGTATTTTCCCAGATAAATAGAAATTAAGGGAATTTATAACCACCAGACCACCCTGCAA